AGGTAAGATGCCATGTAAATGTATTTTTACAACACAATATTTTTATGTATGTATATATGTATTTTAAAACTATTTTCTGCTAACCAACTGGATTCTCCAACTAGCAGAATTTGGTTTTTATTAGAGGCTAATACCTCTATTTGATTTTACAGTATTAGAAGAAAATGATTATTTACTCATATAATACATGTAATCAATACATGTATGTGCCACACATACAATTTACATGAATAATGTTTGGCTCATCCCAAAGGGCATAAACAAACTTGCATTCTTTCACTTCATTAAATTTTAAAGTTTCTATGTATGTGTTAGATCTGGGATTTGAAAATGGCCAAAAATAATTTGCTGGTGGAAAAAAATAAAGTTCTAGTAGAGAAGTATGAATTAATCGTTCTTTCACTCATTCAACTAATTTTCATTACTGATAATAAAGTGTTTATTAGTGACATGCGGGTTACATTTTAAAGCATTAATCTTTCATACAAGAGCCCATTGATATATAGTCTTAAGCAAGCTATGCTGTGGTATAGTTAGTCCCATGCAGATTTAGACTTATGCCACAGAAGCAGAAGAAAGAGAAAAGTGAATTTAAGAGCATAGTTTAAATAAGAAATAGGCCTTGAAATATACTCTTTGGTTTAAATACAAATGCCTAGGATTAACCACAAACTAGAATTCGAAACAGAGTTGTATAGTCAGCCTAACATTTTTTAAAAAACACATTACTGCTAATTAATAACCACTTTCAAATGGTACATTTTCCCACATTTAAACTTATACAAATTCCCTCCACTTGACAACATATGCAATTTTACGTCATTTAAAAAATAATTGGTGAATAATTTTGCAAATAACAACAAATATACTTCAATCTCTTAAATTATTGAATTGTAACAATTTTTGCCAGTCAATCTCACAGTGCCAGGAAATCTACAAAATATTTCTTAAATGGTGTTTGTTCTCAAGAATACACAATAAAGAGGCATCTCTGTTCTTTGTTACAAGGTGCATACTGGCAGGGGAAGAATGCATGAAATAGCACAATCTACCTTGGGATCTTATTAGGACAGTAAGCACTTTAAAAGTAGGATATTGAATTAATTCTAAAATCTAAAGATTTAGACAACCAAATAGAGAAACAAACATTTCTATATTATGCATATGGTATCATCTGAAAATCACAATACTAAATATATGAATAAATGTTTGAAAGTGAATTTAATACTGTAAATTCAAAGACAGTAAAATGCTTTTTTAAACTTTCTAGATCTTAAAAATAAACCATGGATAAATTTCCCAGATCCTTTTTTATGTTATTCTCACCCACCAGCAACACACAGCTTTGAGGTCAAGGAAAGGGAAACCAAGATCTCTCCCCCAAAAGTCAAAATGAACTTACACAAAAGGCTAGGACCTCATTGTCTTTCAGTCTATGACTCTCACATGCAGCACAAATGTCTTTATCAAGGAATTCAGATGCCTCAATGACTACATTCTTCAAATCCCTGACTATGTGAAATTATGTAGGAAAGAAAACGAAAATATACCACTTATTTTACATGTGTTTGATTTAGGAAAAAGTCAAAGATAAAACAGGACAACAGACAAAACAAAACAAGAGATAAGACTGTATTGACCTCTAAGCAGCGCTCTCAGCTGGCAAACCATTCAGCAAGGTGTAACGGGGGCTCCACGTGTGTCTCTACTCTAGACGAAAATCAGAAAGAGCAAAACGAGGGGTGAGATCGATGAGCACAAGAAATCCCAGACGGAACTCTGAAGATCTCTGGTATGAACCTCACAACCTCCGGGGGTGGTGCGGGGTGAGTACTTTGCTCTGCTGCTGCCGCACTGAATAATTAAACACAGAATCTGCCCAGGGGCATTGTCTTCTACAAGCTTTTTTCTCCATATTTTTCCCTTGTGAAGTAAAACTGAGTCTTCAGAAAGCGGAATAGAATCTTTGGATTCCCAGCGAGAACCTAGCATCTGCCCAAGGCCTCCCAAATCTACTAGATGCAAACCAACCACAGAAAGTTGCAAATCTGCCCAGATAGGCCCGACGCCAGGGGCGGCCGCTGAGCTTTCTAGGTTTCCTGGTCAAATGCAAAAGAAAAATAAAGTTGGGGATGGCAAGCAGGCGGTTGCCCGGATGGTTGGTGCAAAGTTTCAAAACTGGTAAAAATCTATCTTTCCGTAAAATTAAGCAGTCAACCCTAAGGTACAACTTTCACCTGGCGCTTTAAGGGGCGGGGGGGGGG